TTGTCTCGTGAGACAAACGGATACTTACTACTAATAGGCATCAAGTGTGTACGTATGAGTATTATTGTGTTATCAACTAATATCTAATATTATGTACATGGCTATGTTTTTCTAAGAAATGTTGTTTAATAGAACTAAGATCAGAAATGTGACAGGTAAGTCGACGGGAGAGTGTGGTTGTAGCAAAACCAATATATGCAGTGTAGATTGTGTCTCTTGTACTATTAATAAACCCACAACACTGACAGAAAATCTGGAGTGGATCCCCGAAGGAGTTTTGCTGTCAACACTGATAACCTTCCGGTAACTCCTGCAGCCAAGTCGGTCATAAATGTAATTATCAGTATTCCTTTAGATATTGTCGTCAAGGTCGGCGTTATTGAAAATACTCATCTTGTCGTAGAGTATTTTAAAAGATAATTAAAAGATAATTTTGTTGTGATATGATGTGGTAAAGATTGTTTGCTTGTGGAGTCATTATGACACTTTTTAATTAAAAATGAAATTAACAAAGAAAGTTTTTCTAAAGCCTGACGTCATCCATTTTAAATGAATGGGCCCTTTGATGTGGCTTCACTGTTAGCAAGCTTGCTATACTGGATCAATTACGACTGAGTAGTGAGTTCTGGATGTTTAATACTTTCGGCTTTACGCTTGGAAAATCGCCATTTACATTGATTCTTTTTTATAGATGAGTTTTACAAATTTAATAGCAATACAAAATGTTGATGATTTTTTTAAAAACTTGAATGCATGTACAGTAATCTGTTTTAATTCATAACTACTTATTAAATAAATAAGTTGAATCATACGTCAATAAACAAAAAGTTTAACAATTCTGTAAATAAAAAAATAAAAAAACAAGAAAAAGTAAAAAATCCCTTACTCAAAAAACCTGAAATTCACTCTTGGGAAGGGAGAATTCACCCTAGGTTTAGAATCCCGGTTTTAAGTGGACTACCCTCTCAGGCTAACAAGTATCATCTACCCGATTTAAATATTACGTCTCCCACATCCATTTTGAGTATAACTTTTAACCCTTTGGGGCCTGCGTTCCTGAACAATTTGAACCCTTCTGCGTGAGCTCCTGAGTCAAAATTCGCTAATAATTGGCATCTAATGTTTCACGGTAGATATAAAAGTATGTTTACCCACTGTTCAACCGGTAGCTGGGCATTAAATCATTTTTCTCTACCACCGTTAATCAGGTAGCTGGGCATTAAATCATTTTTCTCTACCACCGTTCAACAGGTAGCTGGGCATTAAATCATTTTCTCTACCACCGTTCAATCATTTTCTCTGCCTCAACGTTAGGGCATTAAATCATTTTCTCTACCACCATTTTCTCTACCACCGTTCAACAGGTAGCTGGGCATTAAATCATTTTTCTCTTCCACCATTCAACCGGTAGCTGGGCATTAAATCATTTTTTTTCTGCCACCATTCAACCGGTAGCTGGGCATTAAATCATTTTTCTCTACCACCGTTCAACAGGTAGCTGGGCATTAAATCATTTTTCTCTACCACCGTTCAACAGGTAGCTGGGCATTAAATCATTTTTCTCTGCCACCATTCAACCGGTAGCTGGGCATTAAATCATTTTTCTCTGCCACCATTCAACGGGTAGCTGGGCATTAAATCATTTTTCTCTGCCACCATTCAACCGGTAGCTGGGCATTAAATCATTTTTCTCTACCACCGTTCAACAGGTAGCTGGGCATTAAATCATTTTTCTCTGCCACCATTCAACCGGTAGCTGGGCATTAAATCATTTTTCTCTACCACCGTTCAACAGGTAGCTGGGCATTAAATCATTTTTCTCTACCACCGTTCAACCGGTAGCTGGGCATTAAATCATTTTTCTCTACCACCGTTCAACAGGTAGCTGGGCATTAAATCATTTTTCTCTACCACCGTTCAACAGGTAGCTGGGCATTAAATCATTTTTCTCTGCCACCATTCAACCGGTAGCTGGGCATTAAATCATTTTTCTCTACCACCGTTCAACAGGTAGCTGGGCATTAAACATTTTTCTCTACCACCGTTCAACCGGTAGCTGGGCATTAAATCATTTTTCTCTGCCACCATTCAACCGGTAGCTGGGGATTAAATCATTTTTCTCTACCACCGTTAAACCGGGAGCTGGGCATTAAATCATTTTTCTCTCCCACCGTTCAACCGGTAGCTTGGCATTAAACATTTTTCTCTACCACCGTTCAACCGGTAGCTGGGCATTAAATCATTTTTCTCTGCCACCATTCAACCGGTAGCTGGGCATTAAATCATTTTTCTCTACCACCGTTCAACCGGAAGCTGGGCATTAAATCATTTTTCTCTACCACCGGTAAAGGGGCGTCAGAGCTCAAAGGGTTAAAATAAAGGTTAAAAATATCCGTTAGAAATGGTGGTACCTTTAAAGAAAACATCCAACTTCGTTATCTGAATATTTATTTAATCGGTTTCACCCCAAGCTAGGCGGTAATGTCACTAAAACACAAGGTGTTACAGGGTGTGGAAGAATTAGGAACAGAAACATTAATAATGAGCAGAAAGAGAAAAGAGTAATCAGGAGGATAGTAAATAGCGATTGACACAGCATTTAAATTTTTCCAGATTAAAGTTGGTTGAAAGTAAGAAGCCGGATGGGAGTTCCACAAGCAGGAAGTGCAAGAGAAGAAACTGTTAGCATAGAACTTACGGCTACATCTAGCCAGCTCAACTGTAAACTGATGAGATCTCTACGCCAGTCTAGCGCTGTGCTTAAATAAAAAAAAAAACAACACTACGTACCATAGCAAAGTGCTCACCAGAAAAAATTATCATTAAAATATTTAGAGAAAAGACATAGAGAGGCAACCTTACGGCGGTGGGAAAGTGACTGGAGCCGAGCCGCCAGATCAGGACCAATAATATTGCAGATTCTTTTTCGATCGTATCAAGGAGCTCAGGGTAAATAGCAGGAGCACCAGACCGTATGTGGCAGAAATATTCTAAGCATGGACAAATCGTAGACTTATAGATAGGAAAAATTTCTCAGAGTTAACCTATAGAAAAAGACAATATTTATAAATGTAAAAGACAATAGGAAAACTGTTTCGTCCGATGTGGACTTTTTCAAGGCAAAAAACGAAATGAATTTATTAAGCAAAGTAACTAATAATAACAAAAACAAAATGTCCTTGGCAACTGGAAGAATTTAGAGAACCCTATTTTCATACTGTTAACTGAAAATTACGTCAATTACTGTCATGTGTGGAGATATTGTTTTTATTGCTGTGTTGACAGATTCAACCATTTTCGTTTGACTTCTTAACAGAATTACTACTCTCCTAAACAAACGTAAAGAACAGTATCAAGAAATTCTGTCAATACAGCAATAAAAACAATATCTCCACACGTGACAGTAATTGACGTAATTTTCATTTCGTCGGCAACTATTACAGTTCTCCTATTGTCTTTTATATTTATAAACTTGTAGATATGTAAGATAGATTCTACAGAAAAAAAATTCTCTCACCCGACATAGTAAACGGGATTTCTTAGCAGCTGACCTAGCATTGGATTCAATATAGTCATTTCACTTCATATCTGTTAAAATGGGATCGCTTTATGATGCATGAAAAAAAATGGAAAAATTCCACATGGCGTAATGGTTAACAAGCTTGTTTCGCTTACGACTGAACAGTGAGTTTGATCTTCACAGGGAGGTCCTTACTTTCGATTTCCTTCTTGTTAACGACAATATATTCTGTTTCCTTAAAACTGATGATTAGTTCTTTCACTAACTTGTCTAAGGGATGTATACTGAAATTGCTAAGATCTTTTTTTAAAGTAAGATTCAGCCTTTACAAGGCCCGGTGAACACACGACGTAGAGGGTTACATTAGGAGGCCATTTGCGTGTATAGATAAGGGAGATGACCTTAGCCTTAAACAGGTTACGATTGTAGTGATCGGGGAAACATTCTGCTGGGAGTCCGCTTCACAGGGCAGTGGTTCGCGAGAAGAAGCTGTTCGAGTGGAACTTACTTTTCACCGAAGGAATACAGAGGGAATGTGGGTGGTTTGATACTTTGTAAGTGGCAAGGCGTGTTCTTGCCATGAAGGTTTGTCATGGCGGGATCAGGGAATGTTGATCGACCGAGCACATTCCATGGAAGTAACGGTAGAGCAGCGAGAGGCTTGACACACCCTGCCTGTGGGAGAGGGGCTGAAGGGTGTAGAATTATTCGTCACCCACAAGTACTCGGAAAGGCTTTTGAACTCTATCAAGGCTGGGGAATGAGATATTGGCAGCTCCTGTTAAGATATGACATCAATACTCCATTTTTGGCCTGATCTAGCACTTGTAAAGGCAGAGGATATCAGGAGGAGTTAGGGAGCCGACCATTTCACCTGCATCCTTAGCAACTGATTGTATGTACGAGTTCCACTTGAGGTCGGATGTGAGTCTGAGACCGAAAAGTCTTTCAAGGCACGGTGATTCTCCGAGCTGAACTCCGTTCATCTTGATTGGTGGCAGTTAGAAGTCAATTCGGTGATCTATCAAAAGAAAAAAATCTTATATCCGTCAGATAACTCTTCTAATAGTCTATCACTTGGAAAATCATCATATAATCGTTGGGCATATAAATAATGTCGAGAAAAGCTTAATAGCTAAAATAGTTGCATATTTCTATTTGCGAGTACGTTGTCCACGTTTATCCTAATAGAATAAAACTGATTGAAATACTGTTGGATTGTGAAGTTATTACCTTGCAACAACCGCTGCTGATAGCATTGTTCATGAAATCTTCCTCATTGCTCACATGTCCTGTCTGTGGTCTTCCCAATGTTCGTTGGTCGGACAACATTTCTATTGCTTCGATCGCTTCACCAGTGAGTTAGATTAACTTTCTTTTGATATTTTTATGCCAATAAATTGGATGATTTGGTGTTGTTTATAGGTATTCGTAGTTATTAGACTTGAAGACTTAAATGTGTATAGCCTCTTGACTTAAC